AGTATTCCCTTGTCGTGGTCCACATGAGAGGGTGAGGTGAATTGGATTGTGTGCGGGTGGGTGTGAAAAAGCGAGATTATTGCGCCAGAATGGGAAGGACGTGCGACAAGATTGCAGGGCACAAGCTTGATGAGACGGGCTGAAGAGGGAGTTTGATAAACAGGGGTGTCGCTGGCTCGATGAGGTATGGTGAAGAGGATTTTGCAATTATCAAGCATGAAAGAGACGGTTGAGATCAGCTCAACTAAGTCAAGCTTAAGATTCACTTTTGTGAGAGGCAAAAGTAGGATTAGGTGAACAGGCTTAAGGAATCCGAGAGAACATGCATGGCAAGACAACTTTTCCACGGATCTCACGACCGATCCCATTCAGTCGGCTTGTCGGAGTCTTGCAGAAAGATCAAAAAGCACTTGGACATGGAATTGTCATGCTTTCCCCACCTCCCCAAAATGTGAAACCGACCAGACGGAGAGGCAGCGTGGTCGAGCTGTAGGGCGGTTGAAGTAGTGACTTCGGCTTGGCAACAGACGACCGACAAGACTTTTGGTAGCCAAGTCACTTCTGCCATACAAGAGCTTCTAAAGGTGGGCCTTCGATTTCGAAACGATTCTTGGAAGAGTCACAAATCAAAGGAGTTAAATGGGAAGCTGTTGGATTGTACGAAAATGGCATCGGTTCATTGTCGTGTCAGTCTGAAGAAATCGTCAGACTGAGAAAATATACTTTACGAATGGTCATTTGCATTTTTAGTTAAAGTTTAAATATATTCGTGTGTGTATGTGTGTGTGTATATGTGATGAAAAGAATGCTGTGAAAATAGACGGCACCAGAAGAAGACAATGGACTTTGTTCGATCGACTGTCGGTTGGTTGACGATGTCCGTAAGGCGGTTTTCTACAATTTCCTTAAAACATGCCATACTCTCTTCCGTCAAACGAAGAAGACTCGCATTATTACAACCTTATACAAGCTAACAAATCAAGAAAACTCACCGGATTATCCCAAAATACGGTATGCATACCCTAAATCTTGGAAGTGAAGTCATTTGGAATTCTAGAATCCTCTTGTATTATGTTTTTTTTCTTTCAACACGTCTGTCAAGGTACAGGCGAAAGTTTATCACAATCCGAAAGTTTTCACTTCGCCGTAATCCTCATTCTTTCTAGTTTTATACGCAAAGTTTCGATAAACTCATCACCTTTAATGAAATGGGGTGAATACATCTCATACAATTCCTTCTATTTCGAGTAGGACAATTTCACGAATTTCTTTCAATTAATCTTCTCTTCAAACTGAAGAGTCTTGTCACAATATAATTGTTGGAAACCCAATTTTTATTCGTCTATTACATGATTGGTTGTGACACGACTTTCCAGTTTGAAGGAGAAGTAAAATGGAAGCAATTCGTGAAATGATCTCGCCAATAACCGAAGAACGATTGGCGTAGAGTAGCAATTATAGGATTGTTCACCCTACTGGAACCCTCATCAACTTGCGTGAAGTCATCATCTGTATCACTGCCACAGACATCGACAGAGCAAGAATGCATACTTTACGAATTAGCGCCAAAAGTATACTGAGCCAAGACAACGGGTGGCCACTTGCCGAGCAACTTCTATTCGCCTTTTTCAACAAAATGAAACATACTCCAACATCAATCTATAAATGGACTCTTCAAAACGCAGTTTTTCGACGGATTCTAGTACCTTTTGCGCCGGAATCGGAGGAGATAACCTTGGAAACAGCATCAACAATGATGTTCTAGTAGAGTCTATCGACAGCTGGTCAAGAAGAGTCCGCTGTCGTCTTCTGATCCGATCGACCTTCGAATCTGATCGCCAAACACTTTCACACAAAAATGGAAGTAAACTCAGCAGTTGTGTTGATGAGACTCAGACAAGGTAGACATTTCAGACCAGTTTGGAAGCAAGGCTGCGTGAAATTTAATGAAATTCGGATGTTTACTCGTCAACTTGTCGAACAATTCAACTAACACATTTTCATCATTTTAATCGCAATATGGTGTACACAGTTTTTATTCAAAAACTTTAATCAGTTTGACACGTTTTGTTTGAGTGCATCAAATTGAAATAAAATCACACATGCGTGGTTTGATAAATTATTTGATCTCGTTTTTTGCAAACAAATCGCATTTGCACCTCGTACAAACTCCTCATGACAATTTACAACTTCCAACTTTGCTCTTGATGCATGACCAAGTGTCATGAAGACAACGACAGAGGACAACGGAGAAGTTGTGTTCATTTTGACTGTCGTGACAATTGTAGAAACAATCTTGCGTCAAGCTGCCTGAGGCAAGAAATGCATGGGTCGCTCTCACCGGCAGACAAGGATAGATTCGTGTTGTTCCGTTGCCGGTTGTTTTTGTCGATAACATTCCGTTTAACACAGTCCACAAGACATTCGTCCTCGTTACGGGCGAACAGGAGTTGACCTTTCTTTCGTGTAGTCGATGGGCAAACTTCGTCAGGGCTGGAATTCACTCTTACAAAAGTAAACAAGTCTGACCGGCTCTGTCTTGCATGATGTATATACTACAAA